ACCTGGGACTAGCCTGAACCGACTGGCTAGTTTTGTGACCAGGGTATGGTCCCCAGCTGTGGGTCACATATAAACCAGGTGCTGCTGGGGAGATGTTTTGTTTTTCACACACACACACACACACACACACACACACACACACACACACACAGAGAGAGAGAGAGAGAGAGAGAGAGAGAGAGAGAGAGAGAGAGAGAGAAGGAGGAGTAGAGGTGCCCGCAGAGGCCAGAGGCATTAGATCCTGCTGGAGCTGTGGTTATAGGCAGTTATGAGCTGTCTGATGTGGGTGCTGGGAACCAAATTTAGGACCATCTGGAAGAGTAGAACCTACTCTTATAACCACTGAGCCCTCACGCCAACTCATTTTCGGACGAAATTGACGACCACATTGGCAGACTGAGTGACACCGAGGACCGTGTTGTATGTGAGCTCTTTTGCAGCCGAGGAGTCGTGAGTGGAGAAGCTGCCCTCTAGAAGGGCTAAGTTCTAAGCACTGGTTTCACTTTACACCACATCTGGTGGCCTGCCGCCTGTCCTGCTCACAAGAGCCCTACACATCTCTCCTAGATCTTGCTGATCCTGTCACCCTGGCAAGCTCTTCCTACTAAGGGTGACCCTCTTGGGGCCTTGGTTTCCCCTTACTTTAGTGAGGAATGCCAGTTGTCACGTGCTCACAGATGAGAATCCTTCCCTTTTGCCTAACTGAGGCAGCTTCTGGGATTAGGCAGAGGGCCACATGTCCCTGTTAGCCCTCTTGGCTTAGCAACGGCCCTTCCAGTCCAGAATAAGATTCTTGTTATAAGAACAAACTCTAGACCCATTAAGTACAAAGTTGCCACCTGCACCCCAGGGTCTGGCGGCCGCTGCTTGACTTACCATCTCTGACGTCCACTCCTCGTGTGAGTAGAATCGCAGTTTATCTTTGCATGCAACGGCTTACTTCCCTGAGCACGCTGCTGTTATGATTCATCCATGCTGTAGCATATGTCAGAATTTCCTTCCCTCTTGGGGCCGATGTTCCACTGTATGGGTGACTCTATTTGGTTCATTCACTCCTTCCCTGATGGACATTCTGACTGCTCCTACCTCTTCACTCTTGTGGAGGAAGCGCCTGTGGAGGGGGACACAGATATTCCCTTTTTATGCCTGATGAACATTCTGCCTGTGGAATGATTTGGTTCTGGGGTTTGGAGATAAAAACCTATGAACCTCCAAACAGCTACAGATTGTATGAGCATGTGTGGGCGGGTTAGCAGTGTACATATGCCCACCAGGTGTCCCTGGGTGCTTGCTACCTGGTAACAGCCCCCTCTGACCATACCTTGGGGCCAGGTTTCTGGCAGGGGATCCTGTCAGTGAGAAGGGGAGCCTGACTAGGTCTATACATTGGCTGGAGAGATGGCTCAGCAGTTAAAAATGCCCACTGCTTTTACAGAGGACCAAGATTCAGTTCCTAACACTTACACCAGGTGGCTCACATCTGCCTGAAGCTCTAGTTCCAAGGGATCAAATGCTCTCTATCCCCCATGGACATTTACATACAAATGATGCCCACAGTCCATGAAAACACACACACACACACACACACACACACACACACACCCTTTTACAAAATATTAAAGACTAGATGTGCTGTTGAACATCTTTAATCCCAGTACTCTGGAAGCAGAGGCAGCCAGATCTGAGTTCCAGGCCAGCTAGGACTACATAGTGAGACCCTGTGGTCTCAAACAAAACAAAACAAACTCTAAATCTATTCTAGAAGAGAAGAAAGGGTGTCCCGAGTGGCCTTGTTGATTCTCATGTCCTGTGTTGCAGAACCTTGATGGATTGATTGCCATCTGGAGGAATTCCACACCTTGAACACTTAAAAACTCGAGAGCTCCTCTCTTGCAAAGGGGCTCCACCGGCACCCGCCCACTGACCTTGTACGACTGAGACCACCAGGACTCAGCCTCTAGTCCTCACAGGGATCTAGGTGCCAGTCCTGCCTTCCTTAGCAAGAGCTACTGACTGGGCTTCTGAGAGAACCCTGCTGCTTCTCCTGCCTCCTTCATCCTACAGTGCCAGACCCTAATTGTCTGAATCCGGGGCCTTTGTCCACCTCTGCAGACCAGTTAGGGAGGGCATCGTTTCCTGAGAGATGGGGAGGGGACAGAAAAAAAAAGAAACCCTTTGGGCGGGGCTCAGCGTGGGTAGGTAGCTTGGACACCTGGGTCTTGCTCCCCTGGGGTCAGCTTTGATTTGTGGCGGAGGAGCCACATCAAGAGGCTGCTTAAGGCTGCAGCCTCGCCAGAGATGAGGGACACCGCAGTGGGAGGGGGTAGGCGCAGGGTCCCAGCCGGGCGGGCGGTGACACAAGTGCCTGGGGCAGAGCTAGGGGACGGAAAAAATGAGTGCGGGGAGGTGCAGCCACGGCGGCTGCTTTACGGGAAAGCGGATGTGAAGTGCTGACAGGTCCCTGCTGTTCTCAGTTCTTATCTGAACAGGGGCTGCCACCACCGGATGGCCTGGCCCAGAAGCGCCTTTGCAGCCCAGAGCCAGGCGGGAGGTTCAGAGAACCGTTGAGAGAAACGACCACTTCCTCCCGCCTGCTGTGCCTCCTCCTCTTCTCCCTCCTTTTTTCTTTTTTTCTTTTTGTACTCTCCATCCCTTTTATATTCTTTTAACTCATAACGATGTTCTTGTAACAACATAGACAAGGCGAGTTAATCGGATTTTAGTTCTGGTGTTTTTTGATGCGCACCTGGCTCCCTTCTCATTTTGGCGCAAATCTAACTTGGTTCTTTGTCTTCAGACACAGGGAGTTGCTGGTCATCCTTACTGCACCTTGTGCTGACTCTGCTCAAATCGTTGAGACTGCTGATGGGGATGAGAGGGCATGGGCCAGGTCGGATCCCTATGGCTGGGTTGGTGTGGTTTTGACTCAGCACTGACAGTCCTGTGCCTCCCTCCCTCACAGTGTGACACAGGGAACAGATGGGCAAAGGTGAACGCTATAAGCTTGGTGCCTTCTGCCATGGAGGAGGGGATGATGAGTAACACTGAGCACTCTTTCCCCGTTTAAGGTGTGTGTGTGTGTGCGCGTGTGTACACATGTGACCTGCATTGGCACACACATCCATGCACACACTTTATCCACATGTGCATCAACAGATATACAAGGACAGACACAAAACACATGCGTGAACATACACACCATATATGCACACGTGTATAAGCAGGCATTAAAGGATGTGCACCACATGTTTTGGTGAACGGATGGTTACATCTCCTGCCAACTTTTCCGTTATAGGCTGAATTTTCCCCTTTCCATTGGGTCTTCGTGTGACAGGCAGATGTTTTACTCCAGCTGTGTATGATATAGTCTTTCACCACCTTGAATTGAGGCTTTTGCCTTCCACTCTGTGGGCTGAATATGTCCATCTTATTTTGAACTGCTCCTTGACCAAAGCTAGGGTTTGTCCCACACCCATGCTGTCTGGGAACACACCCTCACCTACTTGAGTTTCTTGTACGTTCTGTCCGTATGTTCTGCTGGGTTTGGGAGTGTGCAAGTGTCTTGCATGTGTTGGGAACCTGAACACTGAGCCAGGAGAATGCCAGGACCTAATAGGAAGTCCCCACTTGCAGGGACTTCAGGTGGCTCCTCTCTGGTCCCAGCGCAGGCAGTGGGGCCTCCTCTCCCCCTTCCTGCATGATTATCTTGTCTGCTTCTTTGTCCACTTTCTTATATACATATAGGTGAGACTTTTTCTCTATCAGAACGATGTTGAATTTATAGAATTATAGGAAGAGCTACCATGTCCGCAGTATGGTGCCATTGTGAGCAGAGCACTGTGTCCCTGGGAAGGCATGTGTGTACCCTGCTTCTCCTGTCAGCAGTTCTCAACCTGTGGGCCGCAACTCCCACGGGGATCGCGTAGCAAATCCCTACGTTAGGATTCATAACCGTAGCAAAGTTACAGTTACAAAGTAGCTTTTATGAAATAATTTTATGGTTGGGGGTCACCACGGCAGAAGGAATTGTATTAAAGAGTGGCAACATCAGGGAGGTTGAGACCACTGCTCTGGGTAATGTCTCACCTGTAGCTGTGCTAGAGGGAGCAGGCCAGCACGCAACGGTCTGCTACCCTAGGGGGCTTCTTGAACAGTGGAGAGCTGCCCATCTCTTGATGTTCACCTTCTTCCTATCAACTGGGTGACTAGGTTTCTTTTGTAGCGCAGGTGAGTTTTCCTAGAACCCTGGCTTATTCTTGACCTCTCTCCTCTGACACTGCCTGTCCAGGACATGGCATCTCCTTCTCCCTTGCTCAATACGGATTGATGGCAGTGAGCTCAGGAGAGGCTCAAGGGGTAGGGGATGTGTGGGTAGCTGCGGCACCCAAAGGCGGCTCTCTGGTCTCCAGCAGAGGCTGGAAGGCTGCCCGCCTTCCTCTGTTGTCAAAAGTCAGGACCTCGGGCTAGTGCTGGGCTGGGAACAGTTTATCCCTTCTGAAATGTCCTATGCTGTGTCCTGGGAAGGGACCCGCAGGTACCTCTCTCATCCAGATACTCTTCACCCACCCTACAGAGATGGCTCCCAACACATGGCACCAACGCTGCCTGGAAGGATTCACAGAGGAGGACATGGGGGATACAGGCAAAGCAGCCCAGGGGATCTTTCAACTGGGCTGAGGCTTGGGGTCTGTTGCCATGGGGGCCTCGGAAGGCCTGGTGTGGGGAGCATGCCTCTTCCTCAACCTCTGCGCTTGAGGTCTTTCGTCCCTGGGTGGTGACATGTAACCCTGAGAATGACGAATGGAGATGAGGCTAGGGAGTGACTGTGTATGTCAGGAATAGAAAGGACTGGCTCAGACTGGGCCTGAAGAGGGTGGTGACCTGCCCTACTTCACCTGGAGCCTCGGCATGGCCCTGCAGCGCTTCCTTTACTGCCCTGGCCCCAACACTGCCAGAAGGAGAACAGAATTTCTTAAAGCTTTTGTTACCATTTAATTATAATAGGCTAGAACCAAAGGAAAGGGACACGGAGCCCTGGCCATATGGGTGCCCACCAGACAGCTAGACTCTCGCTGCCTTGACTGTCTGAAGTGTCAAGGGGACCCTTGAAATCCTTTGTCCAGCTCACAGCACAGCGTGAATGGCAGCCAGAACTGGACTCCAGAAGAGGATGAACGGAGAGACCCCAACACCCAAACCACTGCCTAAGATGGCCACAGTTGATATAAGTCAAAACTATGTCTCTCTTTTCCCTTCCCTGATGCTGACACGGGACCTGTGCTTTTGGTCCCTAAGGGAGATCAGGGGAGAGGCAAGTGCCTCACTGGAGGTGTGGGTGGGTCTCTAGCTCTGTTGGGCCCCATCATTGCCTCAGTTTCCCAGCTGTAGAAAGATCTGAGGTATCTGTGCATACAGAAGGACAGCAGGGACCCTCATAGAGCCTCTACCTGGTGAGTGGTCATGCTTCCCCAGACCCCTGATGCTGGGCACTTTCCTAGTCTTCACCAGAACCTCTCCAGGCCTTGGAACTAGTTCAGGGTCCCCAGGTCCCCCAGCCTATGGTCTCCCAGCTGAGTGTCTCTCAAAGACAGCTTTAGGTGTTGTGTCTACTGTATACCTGGAGCTCCTTGTTATGGGGGTGCCTCATAGGCAGTCTCTAATCAGGTTCCCCATTTCCAGACACAAAATTCCCCGAGGCCATAGGCTACAGAGACACAATCCTTTCACAGTTCCCAGCAGCAGGGTTCAGGAGACCTAGGCTCAGGCCAGCTCTGTGCTTTGTGACCCGAGGGGACAGGGATACTTGCTGCTCCCAGCTTGTGGAAGACATTAAGAGAACTGTCACTCAACAACGCATGTGTTGGAACTGGTACAAGTGGTGGGTTGTCACTCCAGGTAGCTCAGACCCTGGGAGCCTTTGTGGCACGGTAACCCGCATGCTCCTCTTGATGGAGGAATGAACCGGTGCTCTCCGTTGAGAGTCTGCAAAATGCTAATGGTGGAAGCATCTGGTCAAAGGGGCCAAGAGCAGTGTCCATCCTCATGCCTTGGAGGCCGGGGACCTTGAGGGACATCTGCTGAGCCCCTACGTCCTAAGGATGAGGCACCCAGCCCTTCAGTGAAGACAATGGTGGCATACTCTGTGTGTACACAGGGCGTGGGGAGCTCTGGAGTCTTCTGTCTTCCCTGAAAGTCCAGCTCCTCGTAGGCCACACTGAAGACAGGTGCAGCTGAGGCGTCCTCCTTCTTCAAGGGAGGAAGAAGAAAGAGTTGTCTGTGTAGTCATTTGGGGGTGGTGTGTGCATCCCATAATCTCAGCCATTCCCTATGCTGAGTTTCCAATCTGTCACTGGATTTGGGGTTCTTCTTATAGACCTCAGCCGTTGAAGCTGGGACCTAACAGCTGTCTCTTCTCCCTACTTCCCTCTCTGAGATTTAGGATGCAGCGCCTTTGTTTCTGGTTCAGTTTCTACCTCTAAATGGTTCCTGGCCTTCTTGCAGGTTTAGTTTTCCAAAATGTGACATTTTTACTTGTCTCTACCCAGAACAGAATGACTATGGGAATGTCAGGGCTATGCACTCTGGGGTCAGCTGATGGGTAGAACATCAGAATATGGCTGTAGGATCCTGGCGGGAATTGTGAGCTTAATTCTCTAGGCTGCAGCTCCCAGGCCTCATGGTCCTCTCTGCCTGTACCAAGCCCTGGGGTAGACTGTGATGAATCCCTCAAGAAAGGAGACCCAGACTCACCAGAGGCTGTTCCTTTCTTCCAGTTCTTCTGGCCTCTGTTGAGAAACATACTCTGAATTAGAGGGGCAGCTGTTGAACCATCCTCCCTGGTGGAGGGGAATGTCTTGGCAGTGTGTGTGTGTGTGTGTGTGTGTGTGTGTGTGTTTTGGAGTAGGGGTTTCAGGCCCTGAGGAGACCTAGACCATGGGAAGGCATCAGGCTTTCTATTCCCACTCATGCCCTTCCCATTTAGTATCTGGGAGTTCCCACTTGGGTCATGAGTTGTGGACTATGGGCCTGCCACAGGGATGGATGCCCACGTGTGACCATTTTCCTAGTGCACCATAGCACACGGCAGACATGCTGCAGATACTCTGTGTGGCTTCTTAGCTGGCTGATGACCAGACTTAGCTAGGACGCTCCTGGAGCTAGCTGTGCATGGGGCGGATACAGGCTCTTGTAGTGGCTAGGATATGTGTGATGGTCCAAGTGGGTGTGAAGTATTGGGACTACAAGGTTTCAGGACAGTCAGGAGCCATGAGGAAGGTAGGAGGTAGAAGTGTTGGAAGGAGGCATTGTGGGTGGACAATGGCCAGCAAGACTATTTGCAAGGCCTGAGGCTTTGATTTTGGTGGGGCTGGGGCTGGGGCAGGGGTAGGGGCAGGGTTCTGAAGAGCCTTACCTGACACACCTGTTGAGCAGAAAGCAGCTAGGACCCAGGTCAGCAGCAGCAGCACAGGGACACCCACTAGAACACTCATAATACCAATGACCAAGCCTTGAAACTGGCCTGCTGGCCTGGGTGATGAGGGGCTGGGGTATCTTGTTGAGGTCTCCAGGATTCTCTCTACAGGACCACAAAGGATAGAGTTCTAGGACACCAATCATGTATTCGCTTTAGGGGCAACCATCCTGCCTGCTTCAAGCCCACTTTGAATGGGCCCTGACTGGCTACCCACCCTACTTCCATGGGCTCCACCATAAGGGGTCTCCGATTCAGATGTTTCTAGCCGCACCTGTTACCACAAGCTCTGCTCCAGGGCTCTCCTTGATTTGTGGCTTGGGGGGCAGGGAGATAGCCCCACAGAGGTAGATGCCACTGTCATTTCGTCGTGTGGCGAGGATGTTCATGTGGAAGTCATGCCCGTTGGGCAGCTGTGTGATCTGGAAGCGGTTGTCCCGGACAGGCTGGCTGAAACCGTTGCAGAAGGCGGCCTGTTTTTCAGTCTGGTTGCTGGGGCTCAGGCGGTACCAGTTCAGCATAAGGTCCTCGGTCCAGTTGGAGAAACTGCAGGTGAAGGTGGCATTTGCTCCCTCGGACACTGTGAGCCAGGCTGGGGAGAAGGTGAGGGGCCTCCAGGAATTGCTGGAGACCTCTGAGATGGAGGAGAAAAAAAAACTCTGTGAGGAAGGGGCGTACCCTTTTTGACCATTTTCTGAAATCTCTGGGGAGAGGAATGGTTCTCTCAGACCGACCCCAGGACAATCTCCTAAGCAGTACCCCTGCTCAGGAGCCTGTAGCTTCTTGTGGCTATGTGAGTCCCTATCCCCAACAAGCAGGGTTCTTCCTTTAGTGTAACTGAACTTAGAGACTGGAAGCATCTATCTGACATGCTTACTTCTATCCTTTGAGAATCTCCCCCCCCCCACCAGATATCTTTACCTTCCCACTCCAGTGCAAGGAGTCCTGGGCCAGACCTGCATGTTCTAGCCCTAGCCTTCTAGTTCTGTTAGAAGGGTCAGTGGGATGCTACATTGGGAAGTGGGACTTCCACGAAAAACCCAGACATTGGAGGTAGTGTATTCTTTAGTAAACTTGGGGTCCAGGCTGTGTCCTGGACCAGAGACGCCATCCAGCATGACAGAGCTGCCCTGGTAGCAGAAGCTATGGGGCAGTCGTGTCTTCCAGCCATATTAGAGGTCACAGCCAGGGGCCTCCAAAGACCATTGTCCCTGAAGTGGACAGAAGGAGAGGTCCCATGGTGCAGGACTCCCAAAAACAAAGATGAGCGGGATGGTACGGCTGCCAGGGCTTGGTCAGGGGTACCTCACACATCCTGCAGGGCCTCGTGGCTCTTCTCAGCAGGTGCCTATCTCACTGACAGGCTTCTTGTCACATATATGTGCACACTTACATATAACCTCCTGCTGGTACTCTAAAACACTCCCTACTGGGACCCATGTGATGCCAACCATTGAACCCACAGTCAGAGATGTGGGTACAGTCAGAAGCTCCAGGGACAAGGGAAGACAGATCTGCCAAACACACACTTGCTGGGGAGACAGCTATGCACACAGGAAACAGCCACAGAGCCATCCTTGAAGATGCTCTGGCCTCGACTCTGGCTCTTCTGCCAGCATTCTTTGCCCTTGGCCTATCTAGTCACTGGGCACCTGGAACGTGTAGAGAAAGGGCCAGTGCAAAGACAGAGCTGTGTCCCCAGTTGTACCTAGACATATAGCGAGGGAATTCTACCCAATTACATGGCCCAGGGCACTGTACTATAGACATTGCCTCCACCAATGAATAAGCAGAATTGACATTTCCCCTCTCTGATGTTCTCCGCTATACAGGGGTGATGGATGCACGATGCCAGGCCCTGCTGATGACCTAGTGCCACTTGAATTGCGGGTGGGCGTAGTCTATGAGCCAGGCCTGGAGTGCTGCAAAGGCCAGGGTCCCTAGATCTCACGCAGTTGGTGAAGCCTGAGTCATGCGGTTCTGGGTAGTGGTCTGTAGGTCTGTGTGGGCCAGGAGGAACAATGATGTCAAGGGTCCTCAGAGGAGTCACGCCCAGGCTGGGGGTGGCCAGTGTGAGATCTTCCCATCCTAGCCAAGTTCCGTCCCTCCTCAGAGGCAACACAAACATCATGGGGCTACAGTATACTCTTCCTTTGGCCTGTCTAAACCACATGCAGCTAGCATGTCACAGCAGAGTAGTGTCAATAAATATCTTCTTCGAACATTCACTCAAGAAATATATGAGCCTTTTTTCAAGAAAGCCTCCAGCAACTATAGTAAGGTTAGACTCGGATTTGGTGAAGCAGACATATCATCCCCACCTTCACCCTTCTAGAATCTATCAGTGTGGTCTGGTCTATGGTCTCCATCCTTGGAACTAGAAACTTGAGCTCCTTTTAGCACTCCAGGTAATCTGTCCAGCCCTACCCTGACACCGCAAAGCCACCACAACAGCCGCACTTAAGCACTGATCTCCAAATAGATTCTCAAGAGTTACCAGGGTCATGAGGACCAGAAAAGCCCCCGGAGAGCCAAAAGGTATAGGACTCTTCTTTGTTCTGGGCAGGACTGTCACACCTCTCCAAGGGTAGCTGTGACCTGTGAATGCACCAGGCCCCTCTGCCCAAATGTCACCTTCTGTCTTCAGATGGGATCCATCCCCTAGGCTTTGGGACCGTGGTGTGTCCTCAGGGAGCCACCTGCCACCCTCTCAACGCTGGCCCCTAGGTTGCCTGAGATGAGTTCTTGGGTAGACATTTGATCACGGGTCTCAGAGCCTTGCCTCGTCTCTCCTGCTCCTGCGTCTACATGTATGGCATTTTGGGTCACTTGTCTTCTCACTGACTCTTTGCAGTTTATTCCTCTGGTGGCAGGGTCGTTGACTTCCCAGGTCTCTGTCCTCTTGTGGGTCTCTGCTTGTGTCCATCCCAGGGCTCTATCTTGCTCTGTCCATGTCTGGGGCCTCCCCCCATGTCCCTTCCTCCCTCCTCAGAGCAGTCTCTGCTCCCTTTGTACCCCACAGTCTCTTATCTTCCCTTAGTCATCTCGTGTGGGAATTCTTTTCTTGAACTGGCATGTGTCTTCCCTCCATGTGCCTGTGGTGGGCCTAGAGATGACAAGGGTGGGGACTTCCTCATAGGGGGGATGTTAGGAGGGACTGGGCTTTGGCAAGAGAGTGTCTGCCTCTGAAGGCCACAAGGTGGTAATACTATATGGAGTGGGATACCCCCAGGGACTCAGATAATCCATAGAAGTACAGTGTCACTCAGAAAATAGGCCCTTGAGAGAGCTATCAGGAGCTGATCTGGGAGCACCTCGTTGCGTGCGATGGCGGCTAGGTGTGTTCAGCATGAAGCATCTACTGCAGTCCCGAGAAAGCGAGACAAATGCTGCAGCATCTGAGGCCCTAGGCAGCACTTCTGAGTCTCCCTTTCATGCTGTGGCTGCCTGTGGGAGCGCACAGGTAGATGAAAGTGAAGTGTCACTGTGGTTAGAACGCATAACGGTGGCTTCTCTTTTAAAGACAGGAACTGGTTCAAGAGCTGAGGCTGGCCTTGAACTCACAATTCACCTTCTGCCCCCTAGGTGCCAAGATCACAGGCAGGCGCTGTCCTGCTGTGAGAAAGGCACTTCCGGTTAATCCAAAGTGAGCGGCGAGGAGATGTGAGAAGACCAACTTCTGGGTACAGTGAGGGAGGATTTCCCTGTGCCCCTCGCACACGGTAAGTTCCAGGAAACTGTTCTGATGCCATGTGCACAGTTAGAAATTTCACAGGGGGGAGAAAGGAGAACTGGGAGAGGGAGTTTGGAAAGGAAAAGTCAGCTGTGGCAGTATGTGCTTGCAATGTCAGCATCATGGGAGGTAGAGACAGGAGGAGCCTTGGAGACTTACAGCCAGTTAGCTTGGCTGAAGAACGCAAGCTCTAGGTTTAGTGGAAGATATTGTCTCAAGGGAATATGGTGTGTGGTGATGCAATAGTTTGAAAGTATCACTTACATTTTAAGAGACTGGGATTTTTGTTGGAACTCACAGCCAAAGTTAATAATAGCTTGTGTTCACTGAAGACTTAAGACTGCTATCCTATGTCAGTGTGGTGAGTTCCCAGAAAATTAGGAAACAACCTTCCTCAACACCCAGGAGTACCACTTTTGGGTATATATCCAGAAGATGCTCAATCATACCACAAGGACTTGTGCTCAACTATGTTCATAGCAGCATTGTTTGTCATAGCCAGAACCTGGAAACAACCTAAATGCCCCTCGACCGAAGAATGGTTAAGGAAAATGTGGTATATTTACACAATAGAGTACTACATAGCAGGAAAAAAATGACATCTTGAATTTTGCAGGCAAATGGATGGAGCTAGAAAACATCATTTTGAGTGAGGTAACCCAGACCCAGAAAGACAATTATCACACAGACTCACTCATAAGTGATTTTTAGACATAAAGAAAAGAAAACCAGCCTACAAATCACAATCCCAGAGAACCTAGACAACAACGAAGACCCTAAGAGAAACATACATAGATCTAATCTACATGGGAAGTAGAAAAAGACAAGGTCTCCAGAGTAAATTGGGAACACCGGGACCTTGGGAGAGGGTTGAAGGGGAGGGGAGAGGCAGGGAGGGGAGCAGAGAAAAATGTAGAGCTCAATAAAATCAATAAAAAAATGACTGCTAAATCACTGTGTACTCAGCCCGGCCTTGAGCTCAAGAGATCCATTTGCCTTCCAAGCTTTGTGCCACCGAGCCCCACTATAACCTGCCTTTAAGAGAACAATATAACAATGAACCTTACATGCCTTGGATCTCCCACGTAATCAGCTTTTACAACCCGAGCAATGCATAGCTGCAGTCTTAAGTTACACACTCTTGCATGCCGCTGACCCAGATAATGCATGTAGACCGTTCGCTGCAAGCAGAAAATGCAGAGGCTGAAGGCAGTCTTCTAAAATCTGTCACAAAGGTGGAAAGCATCCGTGTACGGGTACTGGGTGACAATGGTGCTTGTCATCTGGGTCAGCTGAGATCAGTGGGAGCCAGCCACTTAATCCCTGGTAACACTCTTAAAGATTTCTGTCAAGTATCCCATTCTCTCCCCATAGGATGCTTTTTATGCTGTTCCATAATGACAGAGCAAAGTCCTTTCTGAGGGACAGACAGACAGGCACACACATGCAGAACTCGTACAGCAGACAGCCTCACAGATACAGACAGCTATGTTAGACAGACAGACACCACTCACAGACGGACAGCCATGACAGCCACATTTGTATATAAGCACATGAGCACCTCATACAACAGACAGACAGTACACATAGATACAGACGTCCACAATGGACAGACAGACAGACATATACACACAGCTCATACAACAGACAGACACCACTCACAGAAACGGACAGCTACGACACATACACACTGAACAGAAGACACAGACATACGGGCAGATGCACAAGCCAGCTTTTACGCAGGCACAGATTCAGACTCAAACAGAGAGACACGTGGAGCATGAAGCAGAGAGTTCCAATCTGGAATGGCTCTTGGTTAAGTGACTCCAAGGGGAGGTGCTTCAATTTCTTTCCTTAATGTGACACGGATGCATTACTGAGGACTCGGAGTTAATCACTAG